CGTCATTCTTCGTCGCCGGGCGACCTCGGCGCACGGAGGTTCTCGGCGGCGTTTCAAGAGCGCGTCAGGGGGGCTCATCAGGGCCGTCAGTGTCCTCGACGGTTTCCGACGATCCTCCATAGATGTCTCAGAGGCTCTAAAGCAACGGTGCGCGGAGGCTTCGGGAGGTTCTCGAAAGTTCTCAGCGGGCTTCTGGAGGTTCCCAAAGGCTTTTTGCGATTCTTGAGAAGTTCCCATATGCCTTCGCCGGTTTCCGAAAGATCCCCCCGTTTTTTTCAAACGTTCGGGAGGGCGGGGCGTGAGGGAGATGATGAGGCGAGCGGCATCCGACCACTCAATCGGAGATTCCTCGGCCTTGAGCGCGTCTCGACGTCGAGCTCGCTGTGAGCTTCACCAGCATCAGCGGAGGAAGCCGACGAAAAACGAACACGGAGTGAAGGTGGAGGAGAGGAGGGGGACGGGGGAGGGAAAGGAGGGGGAGGGTACAGGAGCTGGCGGAGGAAGGACAGGAGGAGGAGGAGGAAAAGGAGGGGGAGCTATGATGAAGATGATGCTGCTGATGATGATGATGATGATGCTGATGATGATGGCGATGATGATGAGGATTCCGATGATGATGATGAGGACGGAGGATAACGAGGAGGGAGGGAGGAAGGGAAGAAAGGACGAAGGGAAAAAGGGAGAAAGGAAGGGAGGAATGGAGGAAGGAAGGGAGAAAAGGAGAAAGGGAGGAATGGAGGAAGAGGGGAACGAAGGAAGGAGGACGGGAGACAAGGGGGAGGAGGTGGAGAAGGAGGATGGGTAGTAGTAGTAGTAGTAGTAGTAGTAGTAGTAGTAGTAGTAGTGGTAGTAGTAGTCGTAGTAGTCGTAGTAGTTGTCGTCGTAATTAAAATGGTATTATTATTAGTGGTAGTAGTAGTACTAGTACTAGTACTAGTAGTAGTAGTAGTAGTAGTAGTAGTAGTAGTAGTAGTAGTAGTAGTAGTAGTAGTAGTAGCAATGGTAGTAGCAGTCGTAGTCGTAGTAACAGTACTAGGTAGTGGTAGTAGTCGTAGTTGTAGTGGCAGAAGCACTAATGGTAGTAGTAGTAGTAGTAGTAGTAGTAGTAGTAGTAATCAAAAAAGTAGAGGTGATACTAGTGGTCCTGGGAGTAGCGGTAGTAGTCGTAGTAGTAGACATAGAAGTTTTAGGAATAGTAGTAGTCGTAGTAGTAGAAGTAGCAGTAGTAGTAGTAGTAGTAGTAGTAGTAGTAGTAGTAGTAGTAGTAGTAGTAGTAGTAGTAGTAGTAGTAGTAGTAGTAGTAGTAGTAGTAGTAGTAGTAGTAGTAGTAGTAGTAGTAGTAGTAGTAGTAGTAGTAGTAGTAGAGCTGTAGCAGTAGTAGTAGTGTAGTAGTAGTAGTAGTAGTAGTAGTAGTAGTAGTAGTAGTAGTAGTAGTAGTAGTAGTAGTAGTAGTAGTAGTAGGCGGTACTAGTAGTAGTAGTAGTAGTAGTAGTAGTAGTAGTAGTAGTAATAGTGGTAGTAGGAGTCGTAGTAGTAGTAGTGGTAGTAGTAGTAGTAGTAGTATTAGTAGTAGTAGTAGTAGTAGTCGTAGAAATAATAATCGTAGAAGTCGTAGTAGTTGTGCAGGTAGTGGTAGGAGTTGAAGTAGTCCTTCTGGTAATCAAAATTTCAGTCGAGGAGGTAGTAATCGTAGTAGTAGTAGTAGTAGTAGTAGTTCCGTCGTGCCCCTCAGTTAAGTAATATGGTATAGTAGATTGAGTCTCGAGCCACGGGTGGTAGTAATGGTAGTAGTAGTAGTAGTAGTAGTAGTAGTAGTAGTAGTAGTAGTAGTAGTAATAGTAGTAGTAGTAGTAGTAGTAGTAGTAGTCGTAGTAGTCGTAGTCGTAGTCGTCGTAGTAGTAGTAGTAGTAGTAGTAGTAGTAGTAGTAGTTGCAGTAGTAGTGGTAGTGGTAGTAGTGGGAGGAACAAGAGTAAACATAGTAGTAGTAGTAAAATTCGTAGTAGTAGTAGTAGTAATAATAGAAGTAGTGGTAGTAATAAAATGGAGGCAACAGAAGTAGTAGTAATAGTAGTAGTAGTCGTAGTAGTAGTAGTAGTAGTAGTAGTAGTAGTAGTCGTAATAGTAGTCGTAGTATCAGCAACGGAAGTAGTAGCCGTCGTCGTCGTAGTAGTAGTAGGAGTAATAGTAGTAGTAGTAGCAGTAGTAGTAGTAGTAGTAGTAGTGGTAATAGAAAACATATTAGTTGTCGTATTCGTAGTAGTAGTAGTCGTCGTAGTAGTAGTAGAGGTAATGGACAGAGTAGACATAGTCTCAGTGGTATTAATGAGCGTAGTCGCAATAGTAGTAGTAGCAGTAGTAGTCGTAATCGTAGTAGTAGTAGTAGTCGTCGTAGTAGCAATCGTAATAGTAATAATAATAGTGGTCGTCGTAGTAGTCGTAGTAGTCGTAGTAGTAGTAGTAGTAGTAGTAGTAGTAGTAGTAATAGTCCTCGTGGTAGTA